TGTTCGCCTTCGAATTGAAGAGGACAATAAGATGGCTCAAAAGAGTAGTTATACCCCTAATTCTGAGAAAGCTAATGTGGTGGAGCATGGTCAAACTTCTAGGAAGAACAAATCTGGAAAGGGAAAATTCCAAAAGAAAGGCAAGGGTTCAAACTTGGGAGCCAAAGGTGGAACTTTTAAGAAAAAATTTCAATTAAACTGCCATAACTGTGACCAACGGGGTCATCGGGCTGCAAATTGCAAGCTTCCAAAGAAGGCTAAGGAGGAAAATGTTGTGGAGAAGATAACCAAAGATGTGTCTGACATCGATCTTGCAGCGGTTATTTCTGAAGTTAATCTTGTGGAGTCCAATCCAAGGGAGTGGTGGATTGATACGGGAGCTACCCGTCATGTTTGCTCAAATAGAGAATGGTTCAGAAACTTCAAGGTTGTGGATAATGGTGACAAGCTGTTCAGGGGAAACTCGGCCACCTCTAATATCCAATGTGTTGGAAAGATTGTGTTGAAGATGACGTTGGGAAGAGAGCTGACGTTGAATGATGTGTTGTATGTACCCGAAATTCGTAAGAATCTTGTGTCGGGTTGGTTGTTGAACAAGCATGGTTTTCGCTTGGTGTTTGAGTCAGATAAATTTGTGTTAACCAAAAATGGTGTGTATGTGGGTAAGGGGTATGCTGATAGGGGTATGTTCAAACTTTGTGTAATGGCTCTTAAGCCAAGTGACAATGATAATGAAATGAATAACTCTTATACTTACTTGCTTGAGTCTTCAAATATATGGCATGCTAGATTAGGACATGTTAATTTTGATACTCTTCGTCGTTTAATTAAACTCAATCACATACCACACTTTCACATTGACTCAAAATACAAATGAAACACTTGTGTTGAATCGAAATTAACACGACAATCTTTCAAGTCCATTCAAAGGACAACCGAACCACTTGGATTAATTCACACCGATGTGTGTGACATGAAATCAATTCCATCTAAAGGTGGAAATAAGTACTTTATTACTTTTATTGATGATTGCACTAAATTATGTTGTGTCTATTTACTTAAAAGTAAAGATGAGGCTATAGAGAAGTTTAAAGTATATAAAAGTGAAGTTGAGAATCAACTTAATAAGAAAATTAAAGTACTAAGAAGTGACCGTGGAGGTGAATATGTATCACCGTTTGAGGAATTCTGTGTAACTCATGGTATCATACATGAGCTTACTGCACCTTATTCACCACAACAAAATGGTATGGCAGAAAGGAAAAATCGGACCTTAAAGGAAATGATGAATGCCATGTTGTTAAGTTCTGGGCTGCCACCCTCAATGTGGGGAGAAGCTATACTTTCAGCTAACTACCTTTTAAATAAGGTCCCACGAAAGAAATCGGATAAAACACCATACGAGTTATGGTCAGGTATAAAACCATCCTACAAATACCTCCGAGTGTGGGGGTGCCTTGCAAAGGTCGTGGTACCTGCACCCAAGGTGGTTAAGATAGGACCCAAGACTGTTGATTTCATATTTGTTCGATATGCACAAAACAGTAGTGCATATCGATTTCTTGTACATGACTCAAAAATTCCAGAAATTCACAAAGGCATAATAATGGAGTCAAGAAATGCATCGTTCATTGAGAATGTGTTTCCATGTCTTCATAAGGTTGAGACAAATGATTCAAAGTTAATTGAGCACAATGAATCCTCTTATGAAGAAGAAATAGAGGAAGAAACAGAGCCCCGTAGAAGTAAAAGGGCACGAGTGGAGATGATTTCTACACTTACATGGTTGAAAGAGAGCCTCAAACTTTCAAAGAGGCAGTCACCTCCTCAGAAGGAACTCAATGGAAAGAGGCAATTAAAAGAGAAATGGATTCAATCTTGCAAAACCATACATGGGAGCTAGTGGATTTACCTCAAGGTTGCAAACCACTAGGCTATAAATGGATTTTCAAGAACAAAATGAAAGCGGATGGAACCATTGACAAGTACAAGGCAAGACTAGTAGTTAAAGGCTATAGACAGAAAAGTGGCCTTGATTATTTTGATACGTACTCTCATGTCACACGTATTACATCCATTAGATTGGTACTTGCAATTGCTTCTATAAGAAATCTTGAAGTACATCAAATGGATGTTAAAACAGCTTTTCTAAACAGGGATTTAGAAGAAGAAATCTACATGGAACAACCAGAAGGGTATGTTGCCCCAGGACAAGAATCAAAGGTTTGGAAACTAGTGAAGTCATTATATGGGTTGAAACAAGCCCCAAAACAATGGCATCAAAAGTTTGACCATGTGATGTTGGAAAATGGATACAGGATTAATGAATCTGACAAGTGTGTTTATGTTAAAAACACAAGTGCGGGTTATGTTATCTTGTGCCTTTATGTTGATGATATGCTTATTGTTGGTAGCAACGATAAAATGGTTCAATTAACAAAGAACATGCTAAAGGCAAGATTCGACATGAAAGATATGGGTCTGGCAGACGTCATCCTTGGTGTGAAGATCACAAGGACTGAATATGGACTTACTTTGAATCAAACCCATTATATGGATAAAATTCTTGAGAAGTTCAACTCTGGTGATACTACTGTAGCTAGGACACCAATTGATACAAGTCATCATCTAAGTAAAAATAGAGGCGAAGGGCTTGCACAAGTCGAATATGCAAGAATCATTGGTAGTTTGATGTACCTTATGAGTTGTACCAGACCCAACTTATCTTTTGCAATAAGTAGACTAAGTAGATATACCAGTAATCCAAGTGTTGAACACTGAAAGAGTATTAAAAGAGTATTACAATACTCAAGGTACACTCACAATTATGGGTTGCACTATACAAGATATCCTGAGGTCATAGAAGGGTATAGTGATGCAAATTGGATATCTGACATTAAAGACTCCAAGTCAACCAACGGGTTTTTGTTCACACTTGGAGGTGGAGCTATATCATGGAAATCTTCAAAACAAACAGTTATAACTAGATCCACCATGGAATCTGAATTTATATCACTTGATAAAAGTGGAGAAGAAGCTGAATGGCTACAACAATTTTTGGAAGATATACCAGGTTGGCCTAAACCAGTTTCTGCAATCTCAATCCATTGCGATAGTCAATCGGCAATTAGACGAGCGCAAAGTGCTATGTATAACGGTAAGTCTCGACACATCCGTCAAATACACAACACCATTCGACAACTACTCTCAACAGGAGTTATCTCAATTGACTACATAAGGTCCAAGGATAAAATTGCAGATCCGCTAACTAAAGGTTAAACAGGGAGTTAGTTGCAAAATCGTCAAAAGGAATGGTATTAAAACCCATGAACGAATAAGTTATTGCGAAGGAAACCCCAACCTAGTTGACTGGAGATCCCAAGATCTAGGTTCAATAGGACAACCTACTTGCATATAACATATGTGGATCACTGTGGGGGTCAACCCCAACCCATTCCTATAAATAACAGTGATGCAGGTTAAGCTTATAGTAGTTGGTGATAAGTTGGAAATCATCAAGCTTTAGCTTTTAATGATTATGATATAATCATCTATGTGAGAGAGAAGTGGGGTCGCTTCAAAGGGAATTGAATGGGAAAGTTCCTAAGAGCTCTTACAGAACCAGACAAGTCTCCACGACCAAAACGGACACACCAATGAGAACCTAACTAGGTCAGGGAGAATCATGTGAGACATGTATTGATTATTTACACAAATGGCAGAACAACTCAAGGACATCGAGTCTACTGGTGCGCTAGTAAAAAAAATATGTATCTTAAGGAAAGGTTCAAAGGGTCATACCTACTTATCCTGTGCATGATTCAACTGTTGGATTTTACCTAAAGCAGCTTGGAAATGCGGATGCTGAAGCAATTTTCATTCATGTGAGGGATTGTTGGAAAATTAATTTTATTAATTTCCAAAAATGGATTTTCTCCATTTTTGAGCAAAATTTTTGGACTCTAAGTATAATCAAAACAAGTTATTGATTATATATTTGTGTTCTCCTCCGTGATATCTTCGTTTTGATATATCACACGCCCAAAACGGATTAAAAATGAATGAGAAATTACTTGTCAAAGTAGGGCAATTGGAAAAGAAAATAAAAGAGTTAAGTGGGTTTTAAAACTCATCCCACATTGGTGGGAGAATGAAAAGGAAATTGGTTTATAATTAAAAAGACTAGCTACCTTTGTAAGACTTATTAGAACCAAGACTCTCTCTTGCGCGCACGCAGGGGGGGTGCAAATGCGAGCCAAATTGGCTTCGGGCCACTAAACTTGTGTGCGAGCGCGCGTCCTACAGAATGCACCACCGGTAGACCAGAAAAGTTCAAGGACCTTTTTTGTATTTTTTTCCTTTTGGTTAACAGTTATAAAAACTAATTAAGAGCAATTAATCATAGATTTCGGTTTTGATTTCTTGATTAATTTTCTTATTTAAATTGTGACAGTTATGATTTCGTTTTAATTACATCGGTTACATTGGGTAGTATATATACAACGTCTATGTGACTGATTCATTACACCGGATGAAATGAAATCATTCTCTTCCTCTCTTATGCTTCTGCTTCATCTTTTCTCTCCTGCTGCAACCAAGGTATCATCCGGGCCAAGTGAGGGTTTGGGCAATCTAGAAGAATTGCTTTCTACTGTTGTATCTTGGGAAACAAACACCCATATAGGGCGAATTTGTTTTAAGGAAACTGTGTTAAACACAGGCCTCAGTCAAGAAGTTTTCCGATTTTGTTCTTTCGCACAGTTTTGGGTTATATTTTCCTAACATGGGTGTAGGCCCTATTTTATTATTAAAAAACATTAAATTAAAATATAAAAAATATATCAAGAGGGAAATTTAGTCATTTCAATTTCCGGAGGGGCCATGTCTACATAGAAACATGGCCAAAAGGACTGTCAAACCAAAAAAGTAGAGGTTTGGACTAAACCTCAGAAAAAATGCATACCATAGGGACCATTTTTGTAGTTATGTCAATTTAAATATTAAAAACTGTAAAAATATAAGAAAACCAACTTTGCATCTTGGATGTTGATGTTGAGCTTGTGTTTTGATTTATCTGGATGATCTTGTTGTATCTCAGCAACTGCGACAACTAAACCCACAACATCTATAAAACAAAAAAAAGTAAAATGAAAGTTATGTTGGGAACTGGAAAACATAATATTATATTTAAACATATAATGATATGTACTAACCAACAGATGTATCTTGAGGATGGGCCAATGATAAAATGTTTTGATAATCAACAAATGAAAACCCAAACTCATATCCAGAAAAATCGTTACACTCTGTAACAACGGTTTCTTGGACGAATGTGAGTTTTTGATCCTGAGGAGTTAACTTAAAACTACCTGTCTTCAGTGCTGCAAAGTTTGAACCTTTGATGTAAAATGTCATGCCATCCTTTACTACATTTTTGAATCGATATATGTTTCTTTTGGAGACCGTTGCTTGTATTTTGCTCCCCTAAAAATATTTAATACAACAACAAAAACTTTAAAAGTAATTAAAAATAACGAAATATGTGTAACAAATATATAAAAGTAATTTTGTAAGGTACATGTTCATCCATTAAGATCATTTCAATTGACCAAATTTCATTTTTTTTTGTAGAAACACATTTGATGCCAAAGGTTTATGACACGAAGCTTGAAAGTCAAGTCATACCTAGTTATATCCACATCAGGTATCAATGTAAGATTTGATGCTGCCATTTATCTACAAAAAAAAGTAGAAGAAAGAAAAATTAATAAAATAGTTGACTTTCATACCATACATACTAAATTGTTAATTGGAAAAAGTAAAAATTTTGTGGAAAAATATAGCATAAAATGGTCCCAATAACATAAATATTGTAAGAATTGGATTGTATAAAAAGGAGAAGAAGAAAGAAAGAAAATAAAAAAAAGAGAAGAGAAAAGTATGATTATACAATATGATAATAAGACAATAAATAATATTGCATTTCCCTTTGAGTAAAAGAATGAAAAAACAAAAATCTCTGTTGTAAAATTCACATAATTGAAACTTATGATGCTATAAATGAAAAAAATAAACTTGAAGAATGCTATTACATGGCAAGTTCATTATTTTAATGGTTGTTAACTGGAAAAAGTAAAATTTCTGTGAAAAAATATAGCATAAAATGGTCCCTGTAACATAAATATTGTAAGAATCGGATTGTATAAAAAGTAGAAGAAGAAAAAAATAAAATAAAAAAAAAAACAGAATGAAAACTGTTAACTGATGATGATTAAATTTGTTCATCCCTTTTTTCTTTTGTTTTTGATATAGAATATTAACAAAGTATAAAAAGTCAAGTAATGGGTTCTATTCATACGTGTAAGAATTGGATTGCAAAAGAAGGAGAAGAAGAAAGAAATAAAAAAAAGAATGAAAACTGTTAACTGATGATGCTTCAAATTGTTCATCTTTTTTTCTTTTGTTTTTGAAAAGCAAAATCGACAAAGTATAAAAAGTCAACTGATGGGTTCTATTCATACATGTAAGAATCGGATTGTAGAAGAAGGAGAAGAAGAAAGAAATAAAATTAAAAAACAAAATGAAAACTGTTAACTGATGATGCTTCAAAGTGTTCATCCTTTTTTCTTTTGTTTTTGAAATACAAAATCGACAAAGTATAAAAAGTCAACTGATGGGTTCTATTCACATGTAAGAATCGGATTGTAGAAGAAGGAGAAGAAGAAAGAAATAAAATTAAAAAACAGAATGAAAACTGTTAACTAATGATGATACACTAACCTGATGATTTTTGTATTATGTGCACTGTGAATGAAAGTGAAAGGTTGTCGAATTCTATTGGAAATGGTTAATATTAAGTTGATGATATTGATGATATTTGATGATATAAACGTATAAAATTTAGCCTATAAATCAGGAATCAATATCAAATCGTTTTTTATTGATTGATATTGATTGATTATATGTCGAGAAATAATTTGAATGAATTCAAATTCAGCTAATTTTGGATGTTTAGGATATTTACGATATATTTTAGGATATAAATAAGATAAGATAACGAATTCTGCATATTTAATTTCTGCATATTTTCTTCCTATTTTTATGCATATTAACTGAACCGAATTTTTATGCTTATATGTAGGAATTTGAATGTCAATGGATGTTGTGATTCTATGGGCGAAAAAAGAAGATTGGAGAATCATGGAGCAATGACACGTGGCATGATTTAGTGTTAATAAATGGACATGTGGCATTTAGGAGAGTGTTTTATTAGGCAGAGAGAAATATATATATATATATATATATATATATATATATATATATATATATATATATATATATATATATCTATATATATATATAATAGGTTCAGGTTCATTTGAGACCATGTTAATTTTGTGAGACCGTGAGACCAAATCTAAAAATAATTTTAAAATGCAAAATAAAAGGAAAAATCCAAAAATTCTTTTTTTAATTATTATTTTCGGAACTTTAATTACCTAAAAAAATAAAAAATAAATAAAAATAAATAAAATAAAATTACCGTTTTTTTTAAAATACGTGAAATATTCTAATAAAATATTACATTGTAAATATTCTAATGTGATTGGATGTTAGAATATTATAATAGATTTTTCGGATATGTAGAATATTCTATTATTCTACTAAAATATGTAAAAAAAAGTTTTTTTTTTTAAAAAAAATTTTGGTATTTTTTTTTGGAAAATATAAATTCCAAAAATAATATTTGAAAAAAAAATTTCGAAAATTTTCAATTATTTTGCATTTTAAAAATATTTTTTGTTTTATCTACCAAATGAATTACTAGGATTGCGTCTACGGTCTCACAAAATTAGGTCGTCGCACATTAACCTATATAGATATAGAGATATATATATATATTAGATAGATATATATATATATATATATATATATATATAGATATATAGGTTAATGTGAGACGACCTAATTTTGTGAGACCGTAGACGCAATCCTAGTAATTCATTTGGTAGATAAAACAAAACCTAAGCTTAGGTACTAAACCTCTAAAATATGTCGTTTTAACATGCTAAATATGTCCGGTTTGGTTTCACTTGGTAAATATATCATCCTCCATAACATTTCTTTCTTTCATTATCGTTTTACCATCTCTGTTTCTTTCCTCAATTATCGTTATTACTTCACCCAAGTGAACATTACGAAACCCTAAACCTAAACCCTAAACCCTAAATTTACACCCTAAACCCTAAACCTAAACCCTAAACCCTAAATCTAAACCCTAAACCCTAAACCTTAAACCCTAAACCCTAAACCCTAAACCTAAACCCTAAACCCTAAATCTAAACCCTAAACCCTAAACCCTAAACCCTAAACCTAAACCCTAAACCCTAAGCCTTATTGTGTCGATCTTGAATTTACATCTTGAAGTATTAACCGTGAATCCATTGACCATAATCTCTATATAGTAAAACAATGTATTTTCAAGAGGTTTAGTACCTAAGCTTAGGTGGGGCTGTAATGTATATTCTCTTTTCCCTTTTCCATATATATATATATATATATATATATATATATATATATATATATATATATATAGAGAGAGAGAGAGAGAGAGAATTGTCATTATATAAAGGTATAGAAATTTTAATTATAAATCAATGTATTTTTGCACAATCTTCCCTGGTTTTTCCGTGGATCAATCTTGTTCGAAATAATCAAATAACCGTAAGAGTTTTTTTAAGACATAACAAACATCATATCTATTCATAATTGGTCCCTAAGTTAAGGTTTTGACTTAATCTCACCTTTGATAGGTCTCTAATTTAATCTTTTAAACTTAACATATTATAGTTATGAAATTAAGGTCCATCAATAAAAAAGTGGCAGAAGATGAAAACCATGTTCTTTTGTTTCTCATTTTGGACATCTCCAACATCTTTATTCATATTTAAGAACCGATATGAAATCCTTAAATTAAAATAATAAGATAATAAAAAACGGGTAAAAATTCTAATGCTATTTAAGGAGGTTACAGTAAAATATCATAACCTTTTTTATTAAACCGCAATGGCACTAAGCAAAAAAACTAAAAAAACTAATAATAATAATAATAATAATAATAATAATAATAATAATAATTAAAAACAAAAGCTAGCCATAGGCTAGCAAAACAAAAGCATTACAAAATAGAAATAGCTAAAACAAGGTTGCACACCCACGCCCTCCGATTGAACTATAATATCTGCTCCTACCAGAAATCCAATTAAACAAATGAAGAATACACATAAAGACGAGACTTTCACTGGCGCCTTTGCGCCAATTAAAAAGAATGATGTTTTTCAAACTCCATAGCTCCCATAGCACTAGTTTGATGATAATTTTCTCTGTGTTAGTCTTCCAATGAATGTCCATAACGTTGTAAAAGTAGCTATACCTTCCCAATCCATCAAGGTTAATGTCCCATTAGTTTCATATTTTTAACCACACTACCTTTAAAAAGGGACATTCAAAGAAAACATGATTTGTACTCTCAACGTGTAGGTCAGGTCACAAATGGAGCATATGACATGATCCAATTCTATACCAATTTTATTAAGGTTAACATTTTTCGATTATCCAAGAAACGAGTCAATTGAAAATGTTAACCTTTAATTTACGTATCGGTAAGTTTTGAGCACCTAGTTCGTTCATGGAAATTCTCTGCGAATTTGCTATCTATGAGACTTCGAAAGGAAGACATCGAGTAGACGCCCTTAGGTTCAAGAGACCAGGTCCACGTGCCCCGAGAAGCCTGGTCAAGATGAACACTAGTACCTCATTTAGATTATCGATCGGTTCCTCTATTTCATTCCCACTACACACCTTTCTTATCTATGTCCAACAAATGTAGCATTTTTAAAGTGATCAAAAACCGAGTAATTAACCAACAATTCAAGGGCGAATAATCTCGGATATAAATCTTTCAACAAATTAATTACAACACCACCTTTCTTTCCAAAATTTGGTCCCAGTCCCACTTCCGGTTCATGTAGAAAACTAGGCTTCTACCAATATGCAAACTATTCAACAACTAAATGATGGATTACTTCGGACATAAAATGCAGTGTTACACTACAAGAATAGTGGGCAACAGCGGCGACGCGTGTCGCCGCTAAAGGTATGGGTTGTTGCCGTTGATATCTTTACCGGCGACGTGTCTCTGCAAATGAGTCGCCGGTAATGCTTCGTCGCTAATGCGCATCTTGTCGCCGCTAATAGTGTATCGTCGCTGCTATTGTCCTGTCGCCGCTAAAACCTTCATGTCGCCGCGAATACTATGTCGCCGCTAAAGCCTTCCTGTCGCTGCAAAAGATGTTGCCGCAAAAAAATGTTTGATTTTTTTTATTATTATTTAACATTAAATTCATAAAAAACAA